TTCTTAAATTTCTGTCCATTGCTCTTTTTTGTAGCTGGATATTATTTCATTATTCTGGGCTCCTTCCCACAGATGGCAGGTGGCTAAGAGAAAACTCAGGTATCATAGAATTTGGGAGCTGAAAGCAATTTTCACAACCATTTTGTTCCAGCAACTACTATATTGAATTTCATTCTGATTTCATTAGTATTAAGAATTCCCACTGTTATTTGTAAAGGTAATTAACTTTTCAAGATTAAGGTTTTGCATCTTGACTACAGGTATCAGGTCTGTTTGGACTGATGGTTTGGCTAATAACAGAACGATTTACCTAATATTAGTCCCTGCCATGAGAAGCAAAATGCCTGAAAATGTAATAGACTTATGAAATTTAAATATTTTCAGTTCTTCATGGGCTCTGGTAATTTTAAACATGGTAGATGATATAGTTGAGATAATAATGGATTAGACTTTATTATCTACTGATAAAAAACAGAAGCTAAGAGCGGGGCTCACTCTGCTTCCTTGTTATCTTGAACTGAGCTACACCTGGAGCAGTCGAGATCTGATGAGAGCTTGGCTGATACATGTTTGCTTTTTTTACTCCTTGGACTTGAGATGAGAGAATATTGGCGGGTATCTGTGTGTGTGTGTGTGTGTGTGTGTGCACGCACGCGTGCATGAGAGAGAACAAGAAAGGTATACTTGTTTTCCCATTATTGCTAGTCTAGTCCTTCAAGTGCAAAACCATACAGATTTTGTTTCCTTGGTGTTTTACTGAATTCTTACCACCATTTGGAATCTGCTTATTAATACCGACTCATCTTAGACATAAGGGGAAAAAATATGTTACTGCAATGAAATCACAAATTCTCTATACATTACATGATCTTCTTGAGACGTTAGTTTAATAACTAGAAACTCAGAAAAATCAGCCTAGCTTATTCAGGTATGGATTACATGATGCGATTATGAAATCATTATTGGGTTAGGGTAATAGAAGTTGTTGCAAATTATGCCTCACTTTGAGCAAACTTTAGTGGCGCTTTTATTGCATTAGCCCTAATTACTCACAATAATGATGCAGTGCTCCCTTGAATCAGACCTCCTTTGCTGCAGCAGGGAACGGCAGCTCATCAATAGCTACTGAGCAGTTTGATCACCAAGGCTGATCTGTTTGAGCACCTACAGCAGCCACTGCCATCCTCCCTCCCAGTAGCTCACAAACTGACATGTTCCCAGCTCGCCACTCTCTCCTGTATCTCCTCAACGGTGCCCTTCTACAAATCAATAATGTCATAATCAGTATGCCTCTGAGACTCTGAGAAGGTAAAAAATTGCCTGAAACAAAATACTTGGGGGACCCATGGAGCAAATGCATGTATGCATACAGGCTAGAAAAGACTACTTTGTAAACCTTTGACCCATATTCTTTTCTCCCATATTGTAATGTTTACAAAATAAGGTGGGAATGTTCCTTTATTGTACTTTTACCAAAGATCACCTGTTTGAAAAAAGTATGGTTCTTACTATAGACTGAGGAACTATTTGGCAAGTATTTTTCAGGAGCCTACAAAGTGCCTGTCAAATGTTTTCCATTTACTTGTTAAGCAGTTCCAAGACTATGTTTTCCTCAGATGTCTCTCAGCATATTTAGCATTGTAAAAGCACACAGCTACTGCCTCTCAATCATTCCTTTCACTCAATGATTATTTACTGAGCATGTACTATGGGTCAGGAACTGTACTAGGTATTTTTGCATCCACTCTTCTTTTTTAATTTTTAATTTTTTTTGAGATGGGAGTTTTGCTTTGTCACCTAGGCTGCAGTTCAGGGGCATGGTCTTGGCTCACTGTAGACTCTGCCTTCTGGGTTCAAGCAATTCTCCTGCCTAAGCCTCCCGAGTAGCTGGGATTACAGGGGCCCTGCTAATTTTTGTATTTTTAGTAGAGGTTTCGTCATGTTGGCCACGCTGGTCTTGAACTCCTGACCTCAGGTGATCCACCAGCCTTGGCCTCCCAAAGGGCTGGGACTACAGGCGTGAGCCACTACGGCTTGCCTGCATCCACTATTTCTAAATAAAATTTCTAATTAATTGAATTACTTCAGTACATTATCTCAATAAATGATTTCTTAAATTAAATTTTCTTTATAAGCCACTTAGTTTAACTCTTCTTTGCTTTTTTTTTCCTCCCTGCAATTGTCTGCGTTTCCAAAACCATTCTGTAGAAATGATAACCTATTAGAAAATAAGCTGATCCCTGCCTAAAGCCAGAAGTAATTCTATCTTACTTACAGTGAAAGATGAAAAATCGTGCTCTAAAGAAAACAAAAGTGAGTTGTTTCATCAGAAATATATATTACTGTACTATATATGTAACTATATATTACAAGCACCTAATTAAATAAGATTGAATCCAGGAACTATTCACTACCTACTATGTGCTTGGCTTTGGCTAAAGCTATCTACCTCATTGAATTAGGAGTTTCATTCACTGTTCTCCAAAAGAAGTAGGAGTCCATATGTATGGAGGAAAAAATCTGCCTTTGCTCATATTGGGACTATGACAAAAGTGGGAATCCACTGGAAATCAGACAGTAAATCAGGAAATTTGGGTTCCAATCCAATTGTATGACCTCACACAAATCTCTGAATCTCGAGAGGCCTCAGTTTCTTCACGTGTAAAACAGAGCATTGGCCACAAGCCCAGCCTGTGTGTTTTCTAGCTCTCCCAGGTTTGTGGGAAGCTTTTTATCTGTGGGGAGTGAAATCGCAGGAAGGTCTGTCTTCCAGCACCTGGGGCAGATATCTGGCCTATTTCCCCCCAAAAGTCCAGCTCAGCAGTCAGAGACCCGGATATGGACTAAATCTGTGAAATTCTCATGAGGGTCTCATTTTAGTACTGCCAAAAATAAACAGCCCATTCTCAGATGCTGGAACAGGGGAGTCTGGGCTCAGCTCTGATTACCAGGGAAGCATGTATAAAAGTGAAATACCCACCTGTTTCTACTGCCCATTTGGCATATTTGTAAATTATTTACTGGATGCACTAGAGAAGGCAAGCCCATGGAAGCACGTGATCCCAAAAATAGATTCTCTCACATTGAAGGGAAAGAACACAGGGGAAGAAAATGGGGGACCACTTGTCTTTGGCCTCAGAGAAATATCTGTGCATGGTGAGCAAAGCCAGAAACACAAAATCTAATTTAATTTCTCAATCCATAAAGGGAAGTCATCAGTGCTTAATCAACAAGGTCAAATACCCACTTATCTGGGTGGGTGCAGACCATAGCCTAAATCTTTTGCTTAAGCCAAATTATGTCTTCCTTGAAGTCAGCCACAGCACCAGTTTCCACTTCCAGGACTCTGCCCAACTTGTTCCCTTTGTTTAGACACCCTCCCACCAAGGTGCTACTAATCCATCAAGTCTCAGTAGTAACTTGCTCTGCATTTCTCTGTGACTTTCAATCCTTTGTCTTCTTCCTGTACTCTTCACTGGCACCACTTACCTGGCAATTCCACCAAAAACATTTTCTTTCATACCAAATGAAGGCTCATGATCATACCTGAGAGATGACCCTATTCCTTCAGAGCAAGAATTTTCAAATGGCTGGAGAGAACACCATTTCCAAGACATGTTAGGAGACAGTCCCAGAAAAATGGGTTGTGTGGTTAGATACGATTGTGTAATTCGGTGTCTCCCTCCTGGGACCTCACAATGCACATTGGTCAATACAAGGCCTGAAAAGCCCTGCAGGAAGGAACCATGGGTAAGGCAGCAGCTTTTCCTACATCTACTTTTCCATGAATACATTCTTTAACACAAAACACCTACTAGTAGTTTGCTGAATTCAATTGGGGAAGTGTCATTCCAAGTGTTCCTTTCTTTTATTCCAATTGGCTCATTTTCTAATAACCAGTGATTTCCATGAAGGAGGTAGGTATGTAGATAAGTTGAGTTCTTTGCTCAAAGCAAACTGCTAAATTAGAAAATGAATTTGGAGTAAATATTAACAATGAGTCTCTTCTTGGGTTTCTGACCATAACAGGCCTTTCTAAATATTGCAATGTGCTTGACACATTTACATTAATACGTTAATTCAAGAAATATCTATGTAACATTGTCCTGCTACATGTCAGGAAGATAGCAAGAATCTAAATCGTTGTCTCTGCCTCTGAGGTATGTGTAATTTTGTTACATGGGAGAAGCTGTTAAATCGTAGACACTTTTTTTTAATGCAGTCTATGAAATGAAAGGAGCCGCATGGTAGAGATTCTGGATATCCCAGAGGAGCTGTGTCTAGCTGGGTTTTAAGAACTTGTAGGATGTGATTAGGAATTGAGGAAGGCTGTCTCCAAGTTCAGGTGTTTAGCCAAACCCAGGGCCTGTCTTCCTGGAGGCAGGGATACGCTTCACACAATGGAGGTTGGCATAGGGTCTGGCTAGAGGCACGATGGGGAAAAAGGGTAGAAAGGGCCAGGCTGTGGATAACCTGAGATATCTAAATATGGAGTTTGTATTTTATCCTCTGCTAGCGAGGACTCTGAGAACTACTGAGAAATTCATGAATCCATGGGCAGAAGGTACTGATGCATCATGAAAACAGTGATTACTGTCTTTCAAGCCTGATAAGCATGGGAGGCAATGAAACGCACTGGGTTGAGAGCACGAGCTTTGTAATCCTGACTGTCCATAGGTTCTTTATTTTTAGCTTCCTCTTCTGAAAATGAGGATACAAGTGTTTACTTTATGAATTACAAGATATAACATATATATGGCTCTCGATGCAGAGATTAGTAATTCCTAAGGCTTGATAAAGAGTGATTAATAATGTTAGCATTTAGTTGCTATTCCACTGACCAGTATTAGAATAAAGTGAAGAGCTTTCCAGAGTACCCTGCCCTCCACATTCCCAGGAGATCTTCTTTTCTAAGATCTCCTCCCACTTGAAAGACCCACTGTTGAAACAGCTCCTGTGTTCAGAGTCTACGTGAGGTTGGCAAAACAGAGAACTCTTACCTGTATTCAACAGGACATTCTCAGTGGGCTTTCTCCACACTGGTCTTGCCTGGAGTGAACCCAGAGCATCTGAAAAGTGCTCACCTGCGTCCGACGTTGCTGCGGATGCAGCAAGGAGAGATAACACGGGGGCTGGTGGAATTGCAACACTGTCAACTGCGGCTGGCTTCTTCCTAGTCATCATGGTGGGCACGGAGCCTTCGTTCTTACTATGCACTGCTGTCTGGTCCACTTTTAAGTGGGGACTTGGCATTCCTAAAAAATAACCCCAAAACTTTCAGTCACTCTAAGGGAACAGGAAGATAGACAACATACAACCTGAACATGATCTGAGGAAATGGTCAAATGATTTGAACACTTCCTTCTGGTACTACAAGAATAAAATTTAAAAATGCTTAAAGAGAAAAAATAGCTATGACTGGTTTTGGTTTTGTGGCTGAGGTTAGGAGTGACACCATTGTAGGTTGGCTGTGTGGAAGAAGTGGGGTCACAGCATAGGCCTCATGAAGCAGAATGATCCATCAGGTGCCCCTTTGCCTTCTGAGGATGCACATTCCCATGTTTACAGAGGCAGTGATGTGTGGAGCATGAAGGCGAGTTCAGAGTGAAAGAGACATGGCTCCCATCCTAGTAAGACTTCTCATCTCATCCAGCTGGAGAAACAAGACTGAATGGGAAGAAAATACTGGACAACAAGTGTGAAGGCATGTGTGTTACTTACCCTAGGTGTTTGGGGCGTTCTAAGGATGTGGAGATCTGTACTGAAAGCAGTGAGGAAAGGCTTTACAGAGCTCATGCTGAAGCTTTAAGGATGAGGGAAATCAGTCAAGTCATAGGCTAAGGCATGACTGGGGAGTAGACGTGATCCAGATGAGGACAGCATGCTGGAGGGGGAAGATGCACTCTTGGGATTAGTGTGTAATCAGTCTGTAGGGCAAGGAGAGCTGATCTGAGGGCCTTTGATTGTCTGTTCATATCAGGCATCATATGTCATGTCATGACGATGCTGAAAAGCCTGAGCAGTCAGGAGGTGCCCCTGTAAGGGCTTGGAAATTTCCTGTGTAACTAACAGTAAGAGCTATTCTGCGATCTCATTTCCTGAGCTTGAATCCAGGCTCTGCCACTTTCCAACTCTGTGATGAAGAGCAAGTTACTTAATCTCTCCAAGTTTTAAACTTCTTTGCTTGTAAAGATGGGGTGTTGATGATACTACCATGTAGGGACTGTTGTGATCATCCAACAAGTCAATTGATGTAAAGAGCTTAGAACCGTGCTTAGTGCACAGCCTGTGCTGTAAAAGTGCCTAACATTATTATTATCCCTATTATTGCTGCTATCATTACTGTGACCTGCTGCTTCCTCAGAACCAATTGTAACCAGCAAGCAAAGGCTAGGTTGTTTTCCCTGACATGACTAAGAATGTATGGGCACCTTTCCCCCACAATGCAAAAACAAGGCTCTCTAAATCACCCAATGTAAGCCCAGAGGCTGAGGGTATGTATGTGAATCCATTTCAAATAGCTATTTATTCAGTTTCTTCATCTGTAGGTTACATAACTTGAAGCAACGAAAACAAATCGGGCCTTATCATATTGGTTCCTGACTCATTTTTTTTCTATCCCAACTAACCTGAATGATACAGTCCCCTCCCAGAGTAACATTATCTCAATGCCATAGTGAGAGCAGCTTCTCTTGGGCCTCATGGCAACCCTGTGAAGCATGTAGTGTGGATATTACCATTTTTTCAATTTTACAGATGACGAGAACACGTTTCTAAAAGGTTAAAGGAGAACTGAACTCACTCATACAGCTTTTAATGTCAAGGTTGGAAATTTCCTGGTAGCTGGATACTAAACCCAGGGATCCTATTGGTCCACCTGGCCATACTTTAATACCTGACAATGACCCCAGTCTGTTGACAGCAGGTATCATCCTGAGGATGAAGAGGCCCCAGTATCATACCTGGATAAGGCATCTGTAACTACCTAAGGAATACAGTCATGCTGACATTTAACACCTTCCTTCTTCTTATTCTCCATTCCAGTCTCTGAAACTCTCAGTTGTGATGCCACGAACAAAAATGCCACTTACGCTTTTCCTGGACTTTATATGTCACAGCATTTTGAAGGTGGAGATAGGCAAACATCAAATTCTAGGACAGACAGATTGCAAGGCACAGCCATCAAGAAACTAGAAAGTGTAGTAAGCATGTATAATATGCCTTATTTGTAAAATATGCAGGTGTGCTCATCATGGGCTAGGTATAGACATATATTTAAAATGCATTCAAAATCATCTGTAGAGAGACACATCCAAATAGGTATTAGTTGTTATTCTGAGGGAGGAGAGCTCAGAAACTGGTGAGGAAGAGTGAGTGTTTTTTACTTCTCAGCCTTCTTCATTGTTAATATTTTAAAAAACCACAAACATATATTAAATTTTTCTGTCCTTTAAGAAAATAAACACAGTTTGGAAAATATCCGGAAGCCTATGGGCACTGGGGCAGAATGACTGATATGTTTTTACAATTGGCTGCTAAAAAATTTGATAATGGGCAGAGCAGGTATAAGTCTGATGAAAATTTCCCATTTTGGTACACTGCACCACCAAGGCATTCCCACCAAATGGATGGAAGCAGAGTTTCCATAGAACATCTCAGGATATCTAAGCTGTCAGATTTCTATTGAATGACAGCTCCTCTGGAAAAACTCACCAATATGTCATCTTTGTACCTGTGGGCACAAGTTAGGAAGGTAATTCTTTGTTCAAATTATGATATGCTTGGGGCATGAAGGCCATAAACAGGGTTAGCAGTCAGATATTTAACTCTCACTTGGGAATAAACTGATTCAAGTCACTTTAGTTGTACCCATTTTTATGCAAATGCTCACAATCCAAATTAGCCTCAGTCCACATCAATTCATTAGAGTTGATCCAATCAGACCTCTCATGGGTAAACTTTGCTCCTTAAGTGTTTATTTTACAGGATATACTAAAAGAAATAATATGATACTTAAAACACTCTATAATTTAGATAGTCACTATTAGCTCTCTTGAAAACCCTAGATAATCTAGAATTTTCTAGATTATAGTACTGCTTGCTAGTTGCCACCCAATGATTTTGAAAACAAATTTAAAAAGAAAAAAGAAAGTCCTGACTTTTTCTCATTTTTGGATTTTGAAAGGATAAGGGAAACAACTCCAGAAATAACACAAACCATATTATGTAAACTTTAAACAAAGACAAATCTATGAACACTTATTAATCCACAAAATCTGTCTGAGGGCAGAGGCGTCAGGGGACAGTGATGGGGTACGGGTCCTTGGGAGAGTGCATTGGGCAGGCTGGCCTCTGGGAGTCTCTTCATTTCCCTTCATTCCAGGTGGCGACTAATACTCTGTGATGAGCAAAAGCAAAGTGGTGGGGGGCATTTGAAAAGTTTCTTCCCAGCATGAACCAGGCTTGTATAAATGGGAGGGAGATTTTTGATGCTAGAGGATTATCATAAAGAAACCCAGATATAACCCTGTAATGACTGGACCATTGAGATATAGCACCACTGCTTACACGGAGACAATTAGTAATACCACGGGTATGCTCCAACAAAGGATCACTGTCTCAAACTCAGAAAGCAGACTGTATGGAGAACACTCTTGGTAGGCGTGTTCAGAGCATCCCTAAACCCCAACATGAGACAAATTACACTGAGGATTGCCTATTTGGAGACCAGTACATTTTTAAAGAGGAAAATAACAATGCAAATAACTTTGTGAATCCAACATCTGTTCTTAATTAAAAGACACAGCCGGGAGGAAATATAAAAAAAGTTAAACCTATAGGGAAAACATTCTGCTATAACCCGTTGACCTCTATTGATAATTTTTTTTAAAAAAAAAAGTCTTTGAAATTGTGCTGTAGCCTATGTAGAAATAGTCACTCATTTTCAAAGGTAATTTCTCAGAGACCACTTATCCCCTCAAACCTCTACCTGCACACCGTGTTTGCATTAGGGACTTGATTTATGGATTCCTGCTCCTTCGATGCAGAAGCTGACTTCCTGTTGCCTTGGTTACTTGGAGCTCAGTTCAAGGTTAAACTACTCCCAAATCAAAATCAGTGGCAGGCGCTGCATCTAGCGGCCACGTTATTGACTGCCCCAGGATGCGAAAAGGTCACAGACCAAAGCATTGTTTACTGCCTTAAGGGTGAGTCAATAGCTTCAATATTTCGATTCTGTTTCTTCCGAAGTAGTAGTTGCTGCTCAATTACCTCTTCATCAGGTTACTCAAGGTCACAGAGGTCACGAAGGAAAAGTAGGGTCTATGGCGGCTGACTTTCCCAGGATCCCTTTAATGAGCTCTGTGACCTTGGATAATAAAAACCAGCCTCACCTTAGAGAATCTGTATGTTGTTCTATGGTTCATACAGCTAGTTATCTACTTTATATCATTTCACTATAGGAAGAAAAGCAAACAAAAAGCCTTTGTGGGATGGCTACTAGTTACTACCCTTTCCTAGATAAGAAAGTCAAGGGGTTCAAAGAGGTTATCTGGTCTATCTAAAATCACACCGTTGTAAGGGGTGGGAAGATCTAGATTTTCTCATTCCCAGTTGGTTCTTCATTCTGCACAGTTTCTTTAAAATAAAAGAGCTGATGGAGTCATCATCAAGGGATCCATATGTAATTTATTTTGTAACATCCGCTGCAGAGCACAGTATATCTGGCAGATAGTATGTGATTAACATAGGCTTGTTGAACACTTTAATTAATTTTCTAATTCCAAGATTCGCAAATGTAGGTATTTCCTGGTGACAAAGCCCAGGCTGGAATGGTCGAAGAGACTGACACCACTGGGATGGTTGGTCCCTTTAGTCATCTTCCTGGCTCCCCTTACACTGCAGAAGGCAGGTTTTGGCATAGACTGGGAGTTATATTGAGCAGTTAGTGGTTTTTAAACTTTCAAAGAGCTTTCATATGCATTATGCTGTTTGTCCCTTGCAGCATCCCTGTGGATGACAAGAGGCAAATGGTGAAACACCTAAGTTGAGAAGAAGAAAATAAAGGCACAGAAGACCAAGTGATTTGCCCAAGCTCACATATCATATGTGTGGATGAAGCAATGCTGAAGTCCATGTCTCTTGACTTAATTCAATGTTCTTTTTTGTCTATAACAAATAGACTTTTGAGCAAATCAGTAAACGAGATATTTTTCACAAGAAATAAACTACTCTTGAAAACTTGATAATAATTCCC